CGTATAATTCGTGTTGTAACCGTGAGCAGTCTATGCAGGTTATTCAACAAATTCAAATTTCTATTCTAATATGACAGCAAAAAAAGAAAGTTAGATCTCGGATTATAGAAAAATTAAAGGAAATAAATATAATGCTTAAAAACGGTATTCAGTTTGATTTCAAAAAAAAAAAAAGTACCATGTACAGTTAAATTATTTATTTAATCTCCAGCTCTGTTTTATAAATACATGAGTGTTCAATGATTTTAGCTGAAACTTTATGTATATGTTTAGAAGGAAGAAAAAAATAGTTGCTGTAAAATGTTCAATTAAAAATGTTCTAAACTTTAGCCTTAGTCCTATAGAATCCCATAGCCTTCAGAAAAATGAAAAAAAAAATCTATTGTTTTATAATTCTGCTCTTTTTTTTTTTTTTTTACGATTCTGTTTGGAAAAAAAGTAAGGAAAGTTTTTGATGATTTTAGCAACCGAACTAAAGGCTTCAGAAAAGATAGTTGTTAGGTGTAATAAATTTAAAAAAAAAAAAAAAATCAAAAATTGTTAGTTGAATTTGGTAAAAGCTGTTAATTTATTGCACAATCAAGTGCTGTAAATTGAAGATTATCCACATTTCAAGTACGTTTGTTTTAAATTATATTACAGAAGAAAACGAAGCAAGTTTTCTTTCTTTTTTTCATCTAAACTTTCAGCCAAAGGAAACATTGTGCTTAATTGTTGCACAAAATAATACATTAACTAAAGACAGTTATTATCACTGTCATATAACAATTTTTATCAAAACAATTGACTGATTGTTAAACTTTCTAGGTATTTCATCGACTTTTTACCATCTTCCAACTGAATAAAATTCAGCACTACAGCAGTTTTTCATTTTTTAGAATCAACTTGAAGTTCACTGTCACTATCCTGTCCTAGAGCCATACCACAGATCAGTCCAGTTGCCATCTTCATTTTCAATATGACTTCATCGTTAAGGCAAATTTATGTATCTTATAAAAATTAGCGTGTTGAACAAATTCTCTAATACATCAAAGATTCGAAAAAAAAAACTCATATTTCCAAGTAGACGATATTTTAAAAAGAAGAAGCTAGTAAACAAGAATTTAGATTGAACAATAATTGATATAATTTTTTTTCAACAACTGCTTCTCGCTGTCATATAAAACTGCTTTTATAGGACTTGTCAAAACAATTTTCAGCTTTTTGAATGTAACGTTTCAAAATCGCTAAAAAAATTTGTTCTGGTAAACTAGCTGTTAATAGAATCTAAAGTTTTTGACACACAGTCAAAGTACAAATGTGCAGTTTCAATCACACGTCAAACTGAGCTTTGAAACTTCGATATTTTAGGGTAGCTTATAGAATTTATTTGAGATGTAATTTAGCTTTAAAACTGTTTGTATGAAAAAAAAAATATGACAGGTCTATCAGAATATGTCCCATAAAACGTCCCCTTCGAAAAGTTTGTCATTTGTTTGCAAATCAGCGAAAATAAAGAACTATACCAAAAATCTTAAAAAACTTATTGAAACTAGCATAATAATTTCATCTATTCGGCGGCACAAGACAGTGAAAAAGTAAGATATTGGTATAATAAAAAGAACATCTCAAGGAAAGTAAGTTTACTCAAAGTATTTCATGTATAAACCCGCAGAAGAAGCAACATTTGTAATGCAAAAAGTGATGATCAAAAAATTGGTTCATAAAGGTTAGTTCACTAAAAACTATGACATTAAATAACCAAATTATTTCTTTTACGGGTAAAGATACTTTTACAAAACTGTATAGGACAGCTTTCGTTAGACTTAAGATTGAGTGATATCTTGAAAAAACTAGAGAAATCGGTACAGCAGCGACAACTTTTCCTTGTTTGACCCTATCGTTTTCTAGCGATAAAACTTGAAATACTCCATAAGGACGTTTGAAAACAACACCTTCTTCCAAAAAAAGTTGATTTACTTCAGGTAGCATAATGACAAAAATGAACATTTATCCGATTTTTAGCTGATTGTGCAATGGATATGCTTTTAATCGTTCTTAAAAAAAGATCATTTCCCAAAGCTATCTGCAAGCTTGCAAGCAACTTCTGTTTAAGAAGAGTACAACCACTATGAAGCATTATAATGACAAGAAATCCTTGCTATGATCACAGATTTTTTTCCCAATTAGTAATCAACCGTAAACAAAGCTCATTCTAATTTTGAAAGATAATCTAACGAAAAAATCCCAAAGACGCTAAATGTGACTTGGCAGCAAAACATAAGTGTCAAATTTATTTTTGAACAAAAAATAACAAGTTGAAACTCGCCAGTTTCTTACGAAAGTAGCACCGCTATCGTTCACTGTTATCGTCTTCACTCTATACCTCTTGTTCTTTCAGTGACAATACTTAGTGTAAAAAAAAGCGTGTTTTTTCCTTTTCTTTGGGTATATTAATGTTGGCAAGTTAAGCACTGAACCTGAGAGCATATTCAGTGCACAGCAAATTTAGTTGCAGTTTAGTAACGATGTAGATATTTTCCAGGAGACCTATCTAAATTATGTCTTTCACGTGAATTTAAGCAACAGTAAAGCTTTATCGATGGCATAATAAAGATCGCATCAAAATTAACGATTTAATTCACAGATAGACGGTTAACATTGCTTAGCGCCAAATTATGGCCCATAAATCATCAGAATAATATGTAGAACAAGGTGCCTGCACGTGGAGTGAACAACTTGAAGTTATAGCAGATTAAAACTCAGCTATCAAATTCGCTATACTTCTGTTATTCCAATCAGCCATTACTTTCATCGTTTCGCCACTTTAAAAATCCCTTAAAAATATGCAAAAGAATAACTTCTGATTCTCGTAAATGTATTATACAGCAGTTAATTTTATTGTGATTCTCTGTAAAATAGCACTTCAACCGACCTAACTTCATTCACAACTGTTTACTCTTAAACGATACATGACTGAATTTCTTAAAGCACCTTATTCTTGTAGAAGAATTGGGGCAGCTGACAATAAAAAGCTCATATAAGTGGAGAAGTTACCAACACAACTGCTTCATATACTGATGTTCCCTGCTAGTTCTATAAAGGAAGGCAAAATGCAAAACTTACTGATTTCACGTGGGCATCAGGATAACTGATCTTTGGCAGGTGCTGTTATAAGCTTTTAAAAAAAGAAGACCACAAAATATTGCAAAAAACTTTCAGGTTCCAATCATAGATAAGAAAACTCTCTTCTAAACTGTTGCATCAAATCACTGCTGGAACTGTTCTGTTGTTTTTT